TTCGGCACAACGATCCTTCCTTTGTACTCCAGGGCACCATCTGTGCCTCGATAAAATCCCTCTACTCCTCCGACATTAATCTTCGCCCCCATCGAGCGAACGAACTTGTCGAAAGCTTGATCCCTCCGGATCCTATCTCGTAGCGTGGGCCACATTCTCATCGCTCGAATACCTCCCACAACTGGCAACTTAGGAGGTGATTCGACCACTTCTAGCTGCATCCGAGCGAACTCATGAATCAACTGATGCTGTTGAGTGATCATACAAGTCAGTTCTCCCTTTCCCTTCCGGCTGAGGGCATCGGCAACTACGTTCGCCTTGCCAGGATGATAGTTAATGGTACAGTCATAATCCTTCACTAGTTCCAACCATCGCCGTTGGCGCATGTTGAGCTCCTTCTGCGTGAAGATATACTGTAGGCTCTTGTGGTCTGTGTAAATCTCGCAGTGGCCTCCGTATAGATAATGCCTCCAAATCTTCAGAGCGTGAACCACTGCAGCCAACTCAAGATCGTGAGTCGGGTAGTTCACCTCGTGCGGCTTTAGCTGACGAGAAGCATAAGCCACAACCTTGCCGTCTTGCATCAAAACACAGCCTAAACCCTGCTTCGAGGCGTCACTATAGATAATGAAACCCTGTGTGGGGTCTGGAATAGTCAACACGGGTGCCGTCGTAAGCCTCGCTTTGAGCTCCTGGAAGCTCGACTCACAACGACTATCCCACTCAAACTTCACCGATTAAACTTCACCGATTTCCTCGTCAAACGGGACAAGGGTAGGGCAATCTTCGAAAACCCCTCGATGAAACGTCTATAATATCCTGCCAAACCGAGAAAACTCCGAACCTCGGTAGCATTCCTCGGTGTCGACCAATTTCGAACTGCTTCAATCTTGCTTGGGTCTACCTCAATTCCTCTGGATGTGACGATGTGGCCTAGGAAAGCCACTCGATCGAGCCAAAATTCGCACTTCGAGAACTTGGCGTATAACTTCTCACGCCGAAGAGTCTCCAAAACGGCTCTCAAGTGCTCCTCATGCTGCTTCGGGCTACTGGAATAGACCAAAAAATCATCAATGAAGACGATAACAAACTGGTCTAGGAATTGATGGAAGACACGGTTCATAAGATCCATGAATACCGCTGGCGCATTGCTCAGACCAAACGGCATCACAACGAACTCATAATGACCGTATCTAGTTCGGAAAGCTGTCTTGGCCACGTCGGCTTCTCTGATTTTTAGCTGATGGTAACCAGAGCAGAGATCGATTTTGGAAAATACACTGGCTCCCCTCAGCTGATCGAATAAATCCTCAATCCTGGGGAGCGGATACTTGTTCTTCACCGTCAACCGGTTCAAATCCCGGTAGTCGATGCACATACGCATAGACCCATCCTTCTTCTTACCAAAGAGAACAGGCGCTTCCCAAGGTGAAACACTCGGTCGGATGAAATCGAGACTCAACAGCTCCTGAATCTGAGCCTTTAACTCCTGAAGCTCTTTCGGTGCCATGCGATATGGCGCTTTCGACACGGGTCCCGCTCCGGGGACTAAGTCGATTGTGAACTCCACCTGGCGGTTAGGTGGTCCTCCTGGAAGCTGATCGGGAAAAACATCCACAAACTCACGAACAATGGGTATATCTCCGGGAAACAACTTCTCCGATGATTCCCCAACAATGTTGACAAGAAATCCCTGACAATCCTCTCTATGCATGTACTTCGTTGCTTTTGCCATGGAAATAACGCGCGGTAAGGTTCGAGACTTTGTCCCGAAGAACGTGATGTGGTCTTCCTCGGATAAATGTAGCGTCACCTCCCGATCATGACAACGGATGTCTGCTTGGTATCTCGCCAACCAATCCATGCCAAGAATTAAATCAAAGTCATTCATATCAATCACAAACGCGTCTACGACAAGAGCTCGGCCCCCGACATCGATGCTAAGGTTCTTGGCCAGGGAACTCGTAACTATCTTCCTTCCCGATGCGAGACTGATCTCGAGAGGGTCAACAGTACTCACTCCCTGGGCCCCTAAGGCAGACAAGCACTTGGCCGAGACGAATGAATGGGTCGCCCCGGTATCGAATAAAGCGAAGACTGGAGTATGGAAAAAAGATAACATGCCAGACATGGTACCTGGTTGCCCTGCAGCCTGGTCCTGGTCAAGCGCGTAAATATGGGCGGGTGCTCCACGCTGCTGCTGCTGTCCTGGGGGTCTCTGGGCTTGCTGTCTCGGTGCTGGCTGCCTCTGTGCGGGCTGTCTCTGGGCTGGCTGTCTCTGGCCCTGCTGCGGCTGAGGGCGGTCTGGGCAGTCTCTGCTCAGATGTCCTGGGCGGCGGCAATGGTAACATATGTTCTGCCCAGCTAGGCACTCTCCGCGGTGCTGACGTCCGCAAGTAGCGCAGGCCGGCAGATCCTGTCGGGCTGGCTGGCCCACTTGAGCTGGGCCCCTCTGTCCACGGTTCCTCTTATCCTCACGATCGTCCCACTTTCTCTTGTTTTTCTTCTGAGCTGGTTGGGGTGGTGCTGGCGGTCTGGCTGGCGGCTGTTCAGTGGCATCCCGCTGGATATACGCCTCAACCTGCTGAGCTCGCTCAACAGTCTCGGCGTACTCAAGGTAACCATGGCTGGCCACCAACAGTCGGATGTCATTCCTCAATCCCTCGAGGAACTGGTGGGCCTTCTTTTCCTCTGAGTCTACAAGGTGTGGAGCGAAGACACTCATACGACCGAATTCACGCTCGTATTCATCCACCGATCGCTGGCCCTGACTGAGGGCAGAAAACTCCCGTACCATCCTCTGACGGAAATGGCGAGGGTATAACTTATCCTCCATGAGCGTCTTAAGCTGCGACCATCTCATGGCCTCACGCTCATCCTCAGTGCGGAGATGCCAGTAATCCTCCCACCAATCTCCTGCGGCACCCTCGATCTGCAGTTCGGCGCAAGCCATCTTATGCGCCTCAGAAATACCCATAATACGAAAGATCCGCTCCATTTTTTGGATCCACTCGGCCACGGCTAGCGGGCCATTCTCCCCAGAGAAACGGGGCGGATCATAGGTACGAAACCGACAGACCACAACAGCCTGGTCCTGCTTGACTGCGACTTGAGGATCTCTGCGTGGCGGCATTCTGGAGATCCAAAAATACTTGAATTGATCAGTATAGCCAATTAAGAAATAGCCATACTAGACTTGAGATAATAAAATAAACAATAAAGTCCGAAAACACCTAGCTTGGCTAGAGTTCCGGTATACTTAAACTTTCTATGTTCTGGCTCAAAATGGAGTTCTGACTTAGTCTAGAGTCCTTGGACTTAGCTGTTCTAGAGTTCTGTCTAGAGTTCTGCCTCTAGAGTAATCTGTCTTACAGGAGGATAGTTATCTAGGCCCCATACTTAAACTGAATTTAGCACTTGCAAAACTTAAACTGAGTCAGGTGACTTACCTCGGAGTCGGTGCGGGATGAGCGTGGCATGGTCATGCTTTTCTAACTTTGAAAGTACACAGAAACGCACTCTGCGCTCTGATACCAGCTTCTGTCACACCCCGCCTTACTAGCTTTAAAAAATCAGAGTAATTTTTTTTTTTTTTGTTTTTATTTTCGAAAGGCCGTGCGAGCTTGGTTTTCGAAAATACTACTGATTGCGGGATGTAACAGATAAAAACTTACTTAACTTGCTCACAGACATATATAACACGCAACCAAACTATCCGCTACGGATAATGGAATTAAACATGCAATGTCTGAACCGTCTCGCACTGTCTAGTCTGCTAGCGGAAGCGTCCGAAATACAGAAATACATGCATACATATCCGAAAATACATGATCATAAATACTAGGACATAAAATGTGCGTAAAAATTTCCATGACTCTCATGACCACGCTTTGCCACGTCTGTGCTCATCCGGCACGCTCGACTCCGTCTCCTGAAAAACACAATGGGGGCGTGAGCAAACCACTATGCTCCGCAAAGACCAGTACTGAATAAAACAACATTTATAATATCGTGTCATGAACATAAATATATAAGAGCTGAAACTGTAAACTTTTCTTTTCTTGCTTTACTGTGGTCAAAGGACCCTCGGCCCTTGGCCGCTCGTGTGCACACCCCGATGGGATATTAAGGCCCTTGGCCTCCACCGGGTCTCCAGATGGGATATTAAGGCCCTCGGCCTCCACCGGGAAAAACTAACTGTCTCGAACATACCTCTGCCATGGTACCAATATTATATATGATGTGGAACCAGTACATGACCCCCACCTGGTATACTGTAAAAATATCTGACTGGCGCAAGTGCTGAAATGTTGGGGTAGCTATCGGAGGCTCGACTCTCCTTAAGCTACCAAAATATTTAAGAAATATATCTACTCAGATAACTCTTAAATATTAAATCAAACATATCATATTTTTGATAATACTAATTGAGGGATAATCACTCAAGTCTAAGCATGCTAACTTATTTTAACAAAATAAGCTAAAGGAACTCTCAAATCTCATGATTTTTATAAAATCATATTTAACACTAAAAATGCTGAAACTTAGCAGTTAAATAATACACATAGACATGCACCTCTAATTAAAATTTCAGCTCATTATCATGTCATTAGCTTGGTCAACCAACTACATAAACTTTGCACTTAAACATGCATTTGGCCCATATAACTTCTCGTAATTTTATAAAATCCCACACTTAGCTTCTGAAGCTGAAACTTGGTGAATATAATCATAACTCATACAAGAAATTTTCATTAAAATTTCACATCAAATACGCATGTATTGAG